CCCCCCCCCCCCCTGCAAGTTGAGCGCTAGAATTGAACGAACGTGAAGCTTGAATCTGAAAAATTCAAAGAGAGGTCGAGAAACACTTTTGGTGGAGATGTCAGCAACCTGGAGATGGGAAGGTACATACTGTGTGCAAAGTTTGCCAGCGACAACAAATTCTCGAAGGAATGATAATCTAGTTCAACATGCTTGGCCCTCTTGTGAGAAACGGGATTGGAGCTAAAAAAATAGCACTTTTGTTGTCACATAAGAGCAAGAGCTATTGTGGAATGGGGACCTTGAGGTCATGCAAAAGATGCGTAAGCCAAAAAGTTCAGCAGCAGTCATGACAAGAGCACGATGCTCAAATTCACAGCTAGAGCATGAGACAGTAGGTTGCTTCTTGGCACTCCAAGAAACGAGATTGTTACCAAGATAAATGGAATATTCGAATGTAGAACGACGAGTATTGGGACAACCAACCCAGTCAGCATCTGCATAAGCCACTAGCGCACTAGGAACAACGGATGGATGAAAGGTAAGGTCAAAGTGGAGTGTTCCCTTAACATAGCGAAGAATACGCTTGACAGCAAGAAAGTGATCTGCATTAGGGACATGCAAAAATGTTCTGACAGAATTGACAACATGGGCAATATCTGGGCATGTAATGGTCATGTACTGAAGGGCACCAACTAGTGGGTTCGTCCTCGATTGGAAGAGTACTGGGTGCGGTTCTTCCTCGACTAGTACTGAAGAGTGAGTCGACGACCCTGACCCGAGTGGGTTCGTCCTCGATTGGAAGAACTGTTGAGGTGGAAATGAGAATGACTTTGTTGGTTGCTACAAGAAGTAGGATGACTTCCATGGGTGCGACCACGATTAGTGGCTGTGAATATCGCAGGAGTGGAGTCAGAAGACTCAAGGGAGCGCACTAAAACAACTCAAAATTTTCAGTTTTAGAGATTAAATCTTCAAAATAAGGGAAAGAAAAATAAGGGAAAGAGGCAAGAGCCATCTGAGGAATAGAAGAAGTTAAAAAATTGGTGTCGAGTCCATGAAGAAACCAATGTACTTTATCAATGTCCTCGACAGGTCTGTCAATGGCGTGAAGCTGGTCATAGATTGTTTTGAAGGTACAAACATACTCAGCAACAGGTTTGGTGCCGCGTTTCATTAGTTGCAAGTCATCCTTGAGTCTCATTTCACGGGCTTTCGAATGATGGCTAAATGTAGTCTCCAATGCGAGCCAAAGTCATGTGTAGTGGAGAGACCAATGGCGGCAGCAATGGCTTCCTCAGTGAGAGAGCATGAGACAAAGAAGTTGTTGATCGGTTGCTTTCCACGCCAAAGATTTGGTGTTGAGTGTTGAGGAGGTTATTGGTTCAAAGCGAGGTGGTGAAACGGAGTTCCATCATCGTAGCCCAGTATGTTTAATTCTCAAGGAGAGGGAGTGATTAACCCAACATGTCTTAAAATTCTCAAGGAGTGAACAGATTTGTTGGATTTAGCGCATCCTCTTGGATTTCCTTACACAATTTGTTTTTTTTTTTTTTTTAATTCAGATTTTCTTTCTAAAGCCAGTTGGGAACCCTTGTTGAATCAACTTGGCTTGGATTGGGGGATGCTCGCTGGTTTGGTCTACTTTCCCATCAATTAGAGCCTATTATAAAAGGAAAAGGAGAATTTAATGAAGGCACACGAAATCTGTAAGAGAAAATGAATACCTTTGATGGGAACCTAGATTTATGATTGCAATCGAGAAAATAGGGGCTGAAACAAATTACTGTTCCTAAATATTCGGCTGCAACATCATCCTTTGCTTCTTTTTTGGAGAATTGGTGGAAGCATTACCCTATTTGTGGTTGCCGTGGTCATAGACTTATACCTACGTTCGAAGGTTCTAACTTGGCTTTTTTAAGAGAGAGAGAGAGAGAGAGAGAGAGAGAGAGAGGGTTGTTGCATGGAGATTGGGAGACAATAAGGATCCGTGTACCAGCCAACATTGGCCCCAAGTTTTGAGGTTACTATCTCTGTTAACAAGATTTTATGAACTACAAAAGAAAGGATATGCTTGCAGACATCTGTTTTGCTCATCTCTAATATTTTTACCTATCAATCGTCTCCACTAAATGCTCTATTGATTTTGTACTTGCAACCCCAACACTTCAACAATCTAAAAGAAACCATATTGTAACTGAGGGAGAGAAGCAAGTAACAGTGAATGGCGAGAATGATGGACAACCAAGTCAATTACTCGGAAGTTTGATTCTCTTGCGAACTTTTATATGAAACTGTGAGGGTTGTTGCATGGATAGTCACATTTTTGTCGCCTGTAGTCATTGATGTTATCAGTGTCCCTTTTGCTTTATAGTATTTGATGGTAGAGTAGAATGGAACGGTTTATGTTTAAAATGGGCCTTGCAGCTGTTCTTAGATTTTTCATTATGCAAATTAGATGCTTCGAAAAACAAGTTGACTTCTGATTGTTTTTAGATGTTTCTATTGCGGGTCTCTCTCAGTGTAAATTGACAGCTGTGGTTAAACTGTCTGTTGCATCAACTGGAAGAACTCTATGTAATCTTTTAGGCTTGGGGTTGGCTTTCCTCCCCCTCCTTTCTCCCACTTCTTCTGTAATGTCATATTATCTAGGAAATTGGTTGGTTTCTTGTTGAAAAATAAACAATGATTTCCCCTTTGTATCAGAATATATCTATACTTATCTATTTGTGTTGGTCACATATATCATGTATAATGATGAACAAGACATGAATCTGGAAAATCGACTTACGATGTTTTCTTCAGGGGGCTCAATAAAACTGCTCGGCAGAAGAAAATTGATGCCTATGCTGCCATGGTAAAGTGGTGAAAAATTCTCATATTTATGAGCATTGGATGATAAATGCTGCAATCCATGTCAGGCGCATATATTTTGTTTATAATTTTCTCAATACCTTTATTTGATGCAGATGGTACTAGAGAGATATTTTTCCATGTCAGGCGAGGGAACCGAACTTGTAGTGCCTAAGGGTCAAGTTTTACAGGAAAAGCTTATCGAGGGACCACCAATAGACCCTGACTTCAAGGATTAAGGACGTGCTTCAGGCAAGGAAAAAAATAAGCTGGAAAAGAGGCCCTCGTTCAACAAAGGTATTTGTCTTCTCAAGCTCAACTCTTCAAAATTTTTCAAAATAACTTCACTAAATTTGTAAATTTGTAAATTTGTAATGCTTACTCTAAAACTATATAGTAATATTCTTTATTTTTCTTCATTTTCGAATTCCTATCTAATGACCCGTGACGTGAGGATAAAACAATGATTTTTTCTGACAGATTGAACACTTTAGTTAGTTAGGGAGATTTGTTGTATTTCAAATTAATTGATCTTTGGATAATAACAAACTTCAATTATTTAAATATTTTAAATTGTGTACGGTATAAAATGTGTCAGAGTAAGCATCAGAGTTCAAAATAAACAAAGAAGTTACCACCAAACAAGATGAAATAAAAAATAACCTATCTTTGGAAGGTGGAATTTTGACTACTTTTACAAATAATAAAAAAAATAATTATAAATAATATTATATAATATATTATTTAAATTAAAAAATTGTTTCCACATAATAAAATAATAATGTGAGTAAAAATTGTTTCCACATTATTATTTTAATATTATATAATATATTATTTTATTATGCTTGCACCGTCTTAGTGATTTTTCTAAGCTGAGTACCATATTAAAGTTACTAAAATACTTCCTATCCGCACCATAATTCTAAAGTTGACAGTAAATAATGCCAACAGGACAGACGTTTCACATTGATACATTTCTTTGATAAGAAACAACAGAGGACCTCAATCCACAAAAACCAAAGAACCTAAAGGGGAAGGGAACAAGGTGTCCCCTCCTCGAGACGAGAGAGATACAAGAATTATAAGATCATCCAATCTAGGTTGACAGCAGAAAGAAAAACTGCATTGGCTACTTCGATTAGAGGCCTCACCTTAATACATTGATGAATGCAGAAACAATTTCGTCCAACATTATTCATGGGGAAAAGAGGATCATCAATATGCAAAGGATCAATGCTACATAAAAAAATGGAATGTAGTTAACTGTTATAACTTACTCATAAATGCATCGATAGTACTAAGAAATGGCGTCAAAATAACCCTGTGATGTCTGATTTGGAATTAACAAATTACCTGTATCCCCTTTCCCTCTTTATATAGGCTCTGCTCCCCTGTATTAAAATACGCATTTGACAAGAATCAAATACATTCCTGAAATAAAAATAAACGATTCTACTTTAACATATACATGTTAAAGTTACAGTCCACTATTGTAGTGCGAAAATAACTGGACTTACAAACTCAACTCCATTTATCTTTTTCCCTTTTGGTTAGTGATACTAGTTTTTGGAAAGACATAATAACGATAATAATAAAGAAAGTCAAGCTTACCCAAAGTAAAGGAAGTCCATCAAAAGGCTCCCAGAGTTCTGCTGGAACATCGGGTTTGGAAAAGTTCAAATCATAATCACCAATAAATATAACCATTCCCCAGGGAGAGAAAGCAACACCAATGACAATGGTTAAAAAATTAAAATAGGCCTCTCAAAATTTTAACATATACACTGCATTTAATTTATGACATGAAATTTCATGTCACAGCATTGAAGATTGAATTTCTCCAAGGTCATCCAATTAAATTTGCAGAGCAGTTAGTCCACTTTTCAAATCAACTCTTACAAAAATATAACGGGAATTTACTTGGTTGGTCGGACGGCCAAGATGATGTTCATGCTGAAGAAAGCGTATGATGAATACTACCTGTAAAAGAGTTGCAGCGAGAAATTTAAAAAACTTCATCTCAAAAACCTCATTACAAATTATTTACTCTCATTATACACTGGATTAGCTTCAACCAATGCATCTACTCTAATTTAGCAAGTAATGACATGCGGACACGTTTCCTCAACCAACGCCCAATCCACTATGCATCCTTCCTCAGCGAGTCACATAAATACATGTAAAATAACACTATGGAGAGAAGTGTAATATATGAGTTCTCTAAGAGCTGTAAAAGCGCCACGTTATTTTCCTGGAACGGTGGTGGCCGGCCATCATCGACCATTATGGAGAACTTTTTGTCCGCTTAGTAGAATGATCTAATCAAGGAAGCAAGTTGTTTTACCAGTGCACTTTTATCAACATGGTCCGCTTCTTTTTTCTCCTTTTATCTTATAGAAGCCAAGCCTTGTCATCGGCGTGCACAGGACTCAGCCTGATCAAGTAGATGGGCAAACCAAAGCTGGATATAATCGGATAAGGACAAGTTTGGGGCAGTCCTCCCAATTCCATTTGTACAACGACCTTCTACGGCAACCAAGAGATCACAGGCCAGTCATTACGCATGAGACGTTAATTTAGTATGTGGTTTCAATGGAGAAGCTTTTTAAGCTAAGGTGTACAGAAAGTAGGTGAAATGACCCGTATGAGAGGAGTGGTCCAGATGGAGCTTGCCAAAGTTGGTACTGCAAAATTATGAAAGATTAAGATTGCTACGGAGCGAAGTACAATAGTGAAGAATGTGAAACGATCCCAAATGGAGACAAAATTAACCAAAATAGAACAGATGTCATAAACCATTTTGGATACCGACAAGTAAGCAAGGATGAGCTTCCTTACCCGTGGATAAAGAGGATTACCATTATCTGCTCGCTGAGATGACGGCCACGATCAAAGAAAAGATTTCAATGGGGACCAAATGATGATCACCAACTGAATGAGATTGGAACCGTTGGAATAAAAAATAAACTCTGCAAAAGAAAACCTAAATAAATGATGGACACATGTTCAACATTGAAGAAAAAGAACTTAGGTTGCACCTCAATCGTCACGGACATAAACTTAACGCCAGGTAAGCAAGTGGACGAACCCCCGCCACTTCTCTGGTCCTCCTGAATAATCAGATTTTATCATATGCATGAACATTACGAGCATAGGTTCTTCATGATCGCTTTTCTAGATTCTTTTTCGGTCAAGCATAAATCGCATAAAGATGGTTTTGATATTCTCTCCTATATAGGAAGTGTAAATTTAACCGGCATAATTCAAGTTTGACCTAAATGAATCCCACTAAAGACTTCCAAGTGGGAACCCAAATGACGATCACAGCAACTTAACATTACATAGGAAGTTGCTATGAATAATAAAATGGAGAACAATTAATACCATAAAAAAATGAAAGGTAATCTTCAAGAAAGCCACGGAATCTAGCACATACCCTATTGTCGTGAAGCAGCACGTCCACCTCCATTTTGGACTGATGTAGTGACAAGCTCCATGTTTGAGACCTAGGGTGAGAAAAGGTCTCTTTAATAGAAAAATAGTCAACTGAATTACCCTTTTAGATAAAATTGATGTGATTCAACTGGATAAGGATCAAGACACGGTGGTTTGGTCCTTTGCGTCCTCCAGTAAATTCTTTTCCAAATATACTTTCTTTAGACATATTGAAATTGAGAGTAGAAGCTGAGACCCCTTCGGTGGATTTAGCTTGCAGTTTAATGATCCAAAAAAGCGAAGTTGTTTTAATGGTCTCTGGCCAGCAGAAGCCTTAATTCTTATGACAAGCTTAAGAAAAAACTCCTTAATTTGGCCTTATTCCCTCTATATGAGGGTCAAGATAAGGTGGTTTGGTCATTGGACCTCCTCCAATAAGTTTTCTTCAAAGTCAACTTTCCTTGCTAAAATGGGGTTGCTTGATCACGTTCTTTTTATAATTACATGTTCCTTCCTATGAATGACAGAGAAAAACTGAAAATGGTGAAAGCAATGTGAACCATGACCATTGGAAATAACACTAATCTTTTGGTAGTGTTAGTATTAAATAGAACACTTGAACACACATCATCACTTCAAAAGCATTGACATTGAGTTCCAACCAACTAAAACTTACTTAGATTTCATAGATTTCCATTTTAAAGAAATAATAATAACAACATAAACTGAGTAACTTAAATACCTCCATGCATGTAAAGATAATAGAGCAAGCCCTTATGATAAATCAATGCTAGGGATTATTTTCTGCAGCATCTTATTAGTTCCATCTGAACTTGTGTCACAATTATCATGAAGAGATATTAGCTCTCTCTCCAAAATAGAATAAGCTTCTGAAAAAGCCTACAAACAAACAAAAAAAATGAATAATTAAAGAATTGGAGAGAGAAAGAGAGAGAGAGAGAGAGGGAGAGATCACAGTCGTAAAATATTTTTTATGGGAACAATCATAGAAAAATATAGTTTATGGAAAATAAAAGAGCAAGTAAATAAAATTATGTATGTAAGTCATGAATCTGATTAAGATAAATATATATGTTCTTTTTTTCTTTAAAGAAACTGACTTTACAAGGGCAAACAAGAAAAAAAAAAAAAAAAAAAAAGAAAACCCCACAAAAGGAAGCCTCAACTACCTACAAATACAAGAAAGTACTCAGAATCCCAATATTGTATCATAACTGTGTTAAAGATGTCGAGAGTAGTGTGTGAATGAACTTCTTGTGGTCAGAAAAGTATCTTGTGATCTTATTTATGTCAGATTAATTAATATTCAAGCACTTTCCCTCTAGTGAAAAAGTCCAGGACAACAAGTAGTTGTGTATACAAAGAAAAATCACGAGTAGGTTTGTGTATCAAAAGAAAAATCACGAGTAGGTAATTTTACAAAATACACTCCCCAACGCACTTCTAGGCAAAATTATTTTACATTTTCATTCCAGAAATAAAATCACTAGGCTAATACAGTATTCATTGAATCAATTTGCCTCAACTTCAAAGTGCAAAATTGAAGTAGAGACGTTTGGTTTTACATGGACAACATGACACTTCCTTTTTCCAAATAAACAAGATTACATTGTGTAAGTGATTTTTCTAACCTGACGTAAAATACTTCCTATCCGCACCATAATTCTAAAGTTGACAAAGTAAATAATGCCAACAGGACAGACGCCTCACATTGATACATTTCTTTGACAAGAAACAACAGAAGACATTTAATCCACAAAAAACCAAAGAACAACCTAAAGGGGAAGGGAACAAGGTGTCCCCTCCTCGAGACAAGAGAGATACGAGAATTACAAGAAGACCATTCAATCTAGGTTGACAAAGTGGAGAAAAAAAAAAAACTGCACTGGCTACTTCAATTAGAGGCCTCACCTTGATACATTGATGAATACGGAAACAATTTCGTCCAACATTATTCATGGGGAAAAGAGGATCATCAACATGCAAAGGATCAATGCTACATAAAAAATGGAATGTAGTTAACAGTTATAACTTACTCATAAATGCATAGATAGTACTAAGAAATGGCGTCACAATAACCATGAGATAGCCGATTTGGAATTCAGAAATTACCTGTATCCCCTTTCCCTCTTTATGTAGACTCCGCTCCCCTGTATTGAAATACGCATTTGACGAGGATCAAATACATTCCTGAAATAAAAGTAAACGATTCTACTTTAACATATACACATTTAAGTTACAGTCCACTATTGTAGTGCGAAAATAATTGGACTTAGAAACTGAACTCCAACTACAGTCCACTACAGGGGAAATGGTTAGTGATACTAGTTTTCGGAAAGACATAATAAGGATAATAATAAAGAAAGTCAAGCTTACCCAAAGAAGTAAAGGAAGTCCATCAAAAGGCTCCCAAAGTTCTGCAGGAACATTGGGTTTGGAAAAGTTCAAATTATAATCACCAATAAATACAACCATTGCCCAGGGAGAGAAAGCAACACCAATGACAATGGTTAAAAAATTAAAATAGGCCTCTCATGATTTCAACATATACACTGCATTTAATTTATGACATGAACTTTCATGTCACAACATTGAAGATTGAATTTCTCGGAGATCATCCAATTAAATTTGCAAAGCAGTTAGTCCACTTTTCACATCAACTCTTACAAAAAGATAACGAGAACTTACTTGGTTGATCGGACGGCCAAGATGATGTTCATGCTGAAGAAAACGTATGATGAATAATACCTGTAAAAGAGTTGCAACGAGAAATTTAAAAACTTCATCACAAAACCTCAATACAATTTATCTACTCTCATTATACACAGGACTAGCTTCTTGTAATTACTCAGGATAGGACCTTTTGTATGCATTTCACCATATCAAAGCTGCTAAAGAGTTTTATTTTTTTAAGATAAGAAACAATTTCATTCATATTTGAAATTCACAAAAGGGATGTGTTATCCATGGTGCTTACAAAAATCTTTTCCAATTTATAATGATGGAGGTATGACTATAGGAAGCAAAAGTATTAGACAATTTACACCAAGAAATGACACAGTAAACAACATTTTTAAAGAAACTAGTATGAGTATACGTCTTCTCGGTGAATACTCTTTGATTTCTCTCTTTCCACAGATTCCAAACGAAAGCCATAATGAAGTTTGCCCATAACAAAACTTTTGCATTCTTGGAGAGGTAGTATGTTAAGACCATGTCCAATAACAGCGGTCAGAGGGTCAAATAGGTCATTTGAAGATATTAAGAATCTTTATCCATAAATTATAAGAACATGTACACTGCATAAATGGGTGGTTTTGAGACTCGTTGTCTCTCTTGCATAAAGAGCACCAGTTGGGGAGATTTCCGTACAGGGCATTCTTATCTGAAGATTTTTGTTTTGTTTCTGCTAGTGCCTCTGTGTACCATTTCCCAAGGAAAAAATTTCCGTTTTTAAGGTGATTTCCTTTCCCTACTGACTTTGCTAGCATCGTTTTATGGCTTTCGTCTTTTCACCATATCCATTATCAAAGATCTTGTGGAGAAGGCCTCATCAACACTAGGAAGCTATTTCAATGAGTCTGATTCTTGGGATAACACGATTGGAGAAAGGTCCGGGCTTAATTCAGCCCATTCATAGCTTCATTATCCTTCAAGTTTCTACGAAGCTGAAGGTCCCAAAATTTTTCGACATGTTTCTATGTTTCCTTGATTGTGGCCATCTTGCAGTTAGAGAGCCTATACGAAAGAGGATACTGCAAGACTAGCACGATGTTCTCAATCCAAGGGTCACTCCAGAAAGATGTGTTTCCTCCGTCATCCACCCTATGACTAATGTGGTTTGTGATGAGGTTTTGATGCTTTTTTATAAACTTCCATAGCCCCTTTGCAAAAGGTGAGGGTAGTGATTTATGCATGATGTGGGAACGTATTTAGCTTTTATAAGATTTCTCCATAAGGTGGTACATTCGTGGTAATATCTTCAACTCCATTTGAAGAGGAGGGCTTTGTTCTTCTCCTTCACCGAATATAGGCCAAGACCTCCTTTACAATCAAGAGGTCTATGGTATTCCATCAAACAAGACGTGGGTTATCTTTCTATAGATATTTTCTAAATAACCTTTTTATTTTGTAGCCACTTGTGAGGCATTTCGAGTAAGATATATGGTAAGTAGGAAGGTTGGATAATGTGGCTTATATTAGGGTGAGTCTGCCGTCTTTGGATGTGTAGCATGAGAACCATGTTGATAACCTCCTTTCTATTTTTCCAATAATGGTCTTCTAGAAGGAAAAAGATTTGAGGTTCCTAGTTAGGGACTATCCCATCGGCTAGTCACCTTTTCTACAACGGTATCTATTGGCAAAATCTTCGATATCCTATGTGCTAACATTAATGCCCATGATCTCTATTTTTTTTTTAGTCGGTGATTAGTCCTAAAAATATTTCGAAGGTTATCACCATCTCAAACATATTATATGTGGAGGAGACATCTGACAGATCAAAGAAGAGAATTGTATCATCCGCAAACTGCAGGTGTCTGATACTTCAGCCCTTGTTATCAACATGGAAGCCCTTCATTATTATGCCTTCATAAGTAAGGGACTAAGGCTATCCATTATGATTATGAAAAAAAAGGGGGACAGTGGATCCCTTTGTTGCTGACCTCGTGTGACTAGATTTTCCCTCTCAACATTCCATTGTTGATGACGGAGAAATTTGTGGAAGAGATGCAGCATCCATCTATTTTCCCTCTCAGTCTTCCATGGATGATAATGGAGAAATTTGTGGAAGAGATGCTGCCTTTTATCTACCCCTCTCCAAAGCCTTTTGCTGCAATAATTTTAAATGCATAACCTCTAGATTCTCCTGGTTTATAGAAAAGGTAACATTCTTCGAGCTGTATCATTACAAAACATGCTAGTGATGTAATTCAAGCAAAGAGAGCCAAGAAGACATTCTGAAGCAATCAAGAAAGAACCAATAGCTTCCCCCGAATGAGTCAGACGAAAAAAATGAAAATGCAGCGATCTCCAGATGTAGTCCTGAAAAATTAAAATCTAGGTGGCTTCCAACTAGGTGACAGACCTCTTATCGATACAATTTTCATAACAGTTGGATACATCTTAGAGAAAGAAGTAATGTGGTGAGTCTTGGATCCTCAAAAAATGGGGTGGTATGACCCCTAGAGAAGTTGGTGAACTGCAAAGTTGAATCAACTTTTATGAAACTCTTCCCAATTTCACTTATATTGAAGTTGCCTCTAGTCACTCAGAATTTGGGAGGGTAAAACCCAATGAAGGTTTAAACAAATTAACTATAGAAAAGAAAGATTGTCCATTGCATATAATAGGATCTTTCAAGATAGAGATACCTTAGGAATTTTTATTGCGATCTTGTACAGTATATGGCCTCTTGTTAGAGTGTCCTTCAAAGCAGTTCTATACTTCTATTTGATAAATTTGGATTCGAGACATTTCTTGAAATAGTATTCTCATGGAGAGGGTTTTCATCCTCAGATGAAGGTTCTACCGTTTTTGTTGATCTTAAATATACCCTCACCCGGTTTCTAATCAAATAATAGTAATAATAAGAGACATTTCCCCCCTAGTTTCTCGTAATCCTCTCCTTTTAATGAAATCATATCTTAAAAAAATATAATCCCACTGAATACATCAAAAGCTCAAAACATTTTGATTACAGTATGCTACAGTAAGAGGTTGGAACAACGCACCAAACAATAAGAACTTAAACCGCCAGAATAGGACTGATCAAGACTACGATCTGCCAAAAATTTCTTCAGTACCAAAGCCAAAGGTATAGTAGCTGGAAATTGTTCAGTCAGCTCCTTAACCTGCAGTTGACATTGCATAAAATCAAATACAAATTACAAGATAATATTTGTATACAAACAGCAATCTTGTGAAACTTTGCTGAGAATAAAGTTGTAAAAAAGCAGACCAAACGGAGAATATTTATTTCCGAGATAATTTGTCACAGCTGCTTTGTTGTCATCACCCAATCAAGAGGAAAGATAAGATACTTAAAGAAAATGCTACCAAACCAGTTCTTTTGAGCATTTGGATGGAAAGAAATAACACAATTGTCAATAAAACGATGAAAGAGTGGAGGGTATGCTTGAGTTAGCTAAATTTCATTTATTTTTCTAAATCTCTGGAGATAATGAATCGAAAAGCTATAATTCCTTCCTAATCAATTCAAACTGGGGTGAATTTTTGCGAAAGCTCCATGAGGGAGCTGATCCTTGTATGCAACACTTTGTTCTTTGAACATTTCCTTGCAACTTTTCACTTGTAAACGCGAAATTTCTCATTTGAAGAGGAAAGTTCGATTTTCCAACAGCATAATATTCTCCTCTTTTCTGCTCACTTTATAATACATTGAATTGAGAGAAGAAATTACTCGCAAGGCAAAAGAGGAAAAACTAAGAAAATGAGAGTGCACATCTAAAGAAGAGGGATGGAAGACAAAAATATCCACAACCAAATATGCCTCATCCAAGCTAATAAAGGTTCAAAGAAAAAGTCTACATTAAAAAAATCAATCAATTAATTTAAAAAAACGTTTCACAAACGAGAAGTCCTCTTTTCTTCATATAGAAACAGAACGATTTCATTTATAAATGAAATGATGAAGAAGGAAAAAAAAAAAAAATCCCAAACCACCCTTTGTGGATTACAAAAAAATTCTCCAACTACGTGTTGAAGAAGAAAGGCTATAGTCTATAAAAGGAAAAGAACATTTGCACCAATAAACAACATTAAATAAAACTAAATCCATGGAGCCCTCAAAAGATGATCGAGTAAAGATCCTTCCATTCCTTCACACCATAGAGACCAAAAGAATGAACGGTCAAAGGCAAACCATAAAGCTTTTGCATCTCCTTTAAATGGATGCCCCACACAATCAAGGGAAATAAATCTTGAACGTAGCATAATCATATTCCAACCAAAACTGCCCAAAACAAAATTCCAATATCATAGAGCGAAGTGCAAGAGCCAAATAAATGGCAATGAGTTTCCAAGTTGGCTTTACACATAATCCACATGAAGGTGAGAAAAAAAGAAAAGGCATTTGTCTTTGGAGATATATGCTGTATTAATACCACAATGACTAAGCTCCCAAAGAAAAACCTATATCTTCCTTGAATAGAAATCCATTCAGATTGCAGCAAATAAGGATTTATTAAAAGGGCCTTGAGGTTTCACAAAAAATATCCATCATGGAGCTCACTGTAAAGTTTATAGATGAATCTCAATTCCATTTCCATGAATCATTCATATCAGTCAAGGAAATAGATGGTAAAAGATAAGAAAGAGAGGCACTTCAACAAACTCATCATCTTTAAGACACTATCTAAGACCCAAATCCCGATCCTTATTTTTCAAATTCCAGAGATCATCCATGGTTGCATCAATATCATTAGAAAGCCTATAGAGGTTTAGAAACATGGCAACCAAGGCAATACCATAACCCAAACGCCATGCCAAAAAGGAGATGTGATTATCATTGCCCAATACTCCTCGAACATGTGATTTTACCAAACTGAGATTTCCCTCCAAGAAGCCTTGAAAGAGCCTAAACCAGAACATGATGGCCAATGTGGGCCAAATTGTTATTCATAATTTTCTGACAAATAGCCCCTTCCTCACAAAGATATCTCCAAATCCATTTAGATAAGACGGACTCATTTCGTTATTTGAAATTTCCAATGCCCTAGCCACACATAAGAGTAGGAAATTGAGTTTTGTCCCACCAACTAATATTGTGCATCTCCTTTAGCTCCTTCCCGAAGAAAAACCCTAATGATCTTTTCAATTTCTTTTGTAATCTTGGTAGGCCTTTTGAACAAAGATAGTAAAGTAAATAGGCATACTAGAAAGAGTTGACTGAATAAGCGTATGTCTGCCTCCTTAAGCGATAAAAGGGAATTGCTAATCGTGAAGATTATGGTGGATCTACGAGAAGTCCATCTCATAATGATATTACTAAATAAAATTCCATATGTAAGAACTCCTATGGGAAAATATCATTCGTCGATTCTAGTAAAAACCTGTCAGTTTAACTCCCAGCCAAAGGTTCTTTTAGTTGAGGATAAGAAACGATAGATTCCACTAGAGATAAGATTTCTGAAGGCTTTATAATTATAATTATAATTATTATTGGCTCAGCTGCATCCTGCTTCTTTGAGAAAATCAGGACACAAACTTTCAATTTCATTAATGAGCAGTATGGATGCCAAGTTCTCTATTTTTTTTCTTGTTTTCTTTTTAAGAAAAAATGACTTCAAATGGAAAGTTCAGAAATTCATAAACAATTATGATAAAATTCAAAGTGATGTGTACTATGCTTACCAGCTCAGAAGTTTGAAGTCCTGTATGTGATGGAGTCTTGAAACTGATGTCAATACGAACTGACTTGGTGCCAATAGAGGTATCATAATTCACCTCCAAACATTTTGGCAACGCAGAATCTTCTAGACCAGCCATATCATTGAGAATGTTGACATCTTGTTTTCCAGATACAGCAGAGGATTCCTCCTTAGGTGATTGCATATTTGACGTGGACAAAATAATGAGATCATGGGGAACTTCAACAACAAGCATGATAATAGGTATCTGACACAAAAAGAAACTGATGAGCAAATGTACGGAATAATATCTATCATTGACAACGTGAATTAACTAAATAGTTGATAGAGAAGGCAGTTACAGCAGTATTTTCCACCGTCTTTAAAGAATCACTTTTTACCCATTCCTGATTGGAAAGATATCTGGCAGCATGCTGAAAGACCAAAATACTTATTAAACTTCAAAACTTCCAAATATAAAATCATAACCTCAGCCAAGCGAATTGTAACAAAGAGAGAAAGGAATAATATGAATGTGACTCGTGAGATTGAGAATGTACTTTTTTGTGGTAAAGCTACAACTGAACAGCTCCTGCAATCAAACGCATCTTTATAAATTTATAATTCTTGTTTTAATAGGGTATCCTGGTTGGTGGCTATTTAGTCTTTTGTGGAGCAGATTACATTGCCGACAAAACTCGACATTGGGGCAGTATGTCATTTACAAATGAAATAAACCCCATGAGTTTAATGGTCAAAATCAGTTAAAATTTGGTCCAACTAGTTAGCGTCTCAGTGAGCAAAGAGTAAAGACGGACTTATAAGACACAGCAAAGGAGGTGCAAACCACAAAGATCAATCCATGGAATCACTACAGGTATTGATGCTAAGGCATCAATGTTCATTTATTGGCGAAGTCGAATCCATGGAATCAGAGATCAACTGTAGATACATTCGTAATAGCATTGCAAATGTTACGGAGGATATTAACATCATTCAACAACCAACCTCCACAGCTCCAAAGTGAGGGCTAAGGAGCCAACCTTTTCCTTTGAGTGATCGTGCATCCTATCTAGTATCATTTTACAGTTACATAAAATTCATCGAATAAAAGAATCTAAATATCTCCTTTAACATCACATTTTCTTAAACAGTCATATTTCAACGACAGCATATTTCCATGAACAGCGAGACAGTAAGATTTTGATCTACTTTTAAATCAATATATATTTGTTAGTGTTATAATTAATTTTTCTATATGTACTACCTAAAATCATATCTAACCTGCTTTGTATCAACAAGAAAGAAGGATAAACGAACACAATAATACACTTCACTAGTGACCTACCAAGAATTCTTTAAATGAGAGATAAAAGGAAAGGAGCTTCCTTCCTTTTCTTTTATTCTTATTGTTCTCTTCTGAATTTTAGGCACCGTGGGCATATATTTCATGTAATGCGGAGATTTATTCAGTACTTATTTTGAAAGCTCAAATAAACACGACACTTTATCATCACCTTATTATCCTTTCATTCATTAATCAAGTTTTTTGATCATGGAACTTCAACGTGGTTTAGATAATAAGACAATTGACTTCCTTTCGTTCAATTGATAAGAAACATACGATAAAGAAGAATCAAAATGACAAGAGACTGGAAGACTAGGGATCAATTCCAACCTCATGTCAAGGAGAGAACAAAAAAACCTCTTCAACTAATCTGAATCAACGAAGGAAAAAAGTGAACATCTCTAGGGTATTAGAAATCCCAATGCAACAAGACGAATAAACAATCATCATATTGACACAACTAATTCTTTACGAACAACTAAGATAGGATTTACTAACTGATAGTTCTTTTTCTTTTCTATTTTTCATTTTTTTAACAATAAAAATATATTCGTTAAAAGGAATAATCAGCAGTACCTGGAGTAAGCATAAAAAATAATGAGCTACGATCTTATATTTAATTCCTTGAGATGAGAATAAACATACCTGGAGGCAGGTCTCTTTGATACCATTACGTCCCTCTAAGATCCCAGCTTCTTTAATAGGTTCCTAAAAGATAACAGCAACAAGTCTTGATTAAAGCAAGCAGGACTGCTGCGTGATGGATCCAATTATAGTAATGAACTTACCAAATTTCTCACTGGAGGCAGACAAACCACAAGATCCACATCACTCGTGGGGAGGGACAAACCAGTTGCATTTGAACCAAAAATGTTTGTCCTAGACCTGGGCCATAAGACTTGAAGGGACCGTGTGACCCGTTTAACAGCCCAAGTGATGTAAGGCTTCTTAGCCATGTTTTCTGCAGCAACCTAGTATGCCACCATTTGACATATATCCCATGAACAGCGTATCTCAGTGACAACATTCGTCTAAATAAATTAAATTAGGAATCCTAAAATAATAGCAAAAATGAAGGCTCTTACATGCTTGCAGAAAGAGTCGATCTCATCATGTAGGCGGCTATGGATCAAAGAAAGAGATTCCTTTTTTACAGAGCGACCACTAGTAGGTGGAAAGAGAGGAAATGCAACATCTAGCTGCAAAGAAAATTAATTACAAGGAAACTTCAGACCCGGTACATAGCTCAAATATTTGGATTGTGGTTGCACACTCACACGTTCCTGATCGATAGCTATCTGGGACATTGCTATTAATGATAAAGGTTGAACTGTCGAGCAATTAGATTTACTTTTATTTCTCCAATTAGGCCATATTACTTCAGCACCATCAATACGCAAGCATGCTTCTTCCAAATTAGTTCCATCAGGATACCAACCCTTCACACCCCAATGCCTTGGACTTGAGCTACCAGATCTAACAGTTGGAAACCCTCTCTGCTTCCTGGAATCACTTACAGGAGAAGGTGGAGGTGGTATTGGCGCCCGTGGAACACAAAGAACTACTGGAGATGGTGGACGCTTTACTCGAGATTGCTCTCTCCTAGTGGGAGGGATACATGGGCTTTTATGATCACGACCATGGCAGAACTCAGATCTTGATCTTTCCCTTGACATACTTGGAACAACAATAGGGCGCAAGATTGGAAATGAATGTGAGTCGCCTGTCTTCCCTTCAACATCACTGGGCAAATTTGGCAAAGATCTAGGAGCATCCTCCTCTGTCACCGTGTCTTTCATAGTTGGTGAGGAATGAAGCATGTTGTTAGGTAGATCAGACCCTTGAACCACATAACCAAGAGCCTGCTTTCCAGAACCCACTGGATCAGAAGGAGAACAAAATGAAGTAGAAGTTGGGGAAGTCAACCCATTACTGTAAGAAGAAGAGAAAGCAACCATATCATCAACAGTCCTGTTCATGTCAGCTTCACGCCAAGCCCATGAGCTATCATCAGAACTCAGAGAAGGAGGTCGAGAGAACCCTGTCCCATGATGATCAGAAGGGTTCCAGTACATTACACCACCACCAAAATACTGATTATAGTCTATCCCAGAAACTGCATGCATTTCCAATTCTTCCTCCGATATCCAGTTTCCATCACACTCCTCTGCTAGATCTTGATTGTTTGACAAATCAGGAAAATCAGTGAGATTACCAGAGTACTCATCTTCCGTGCTAATTTGATTGCTGTTAGTGGGGAACCCCTGACAAAAAGAAGATTGTCTCCTAGTAAGAAACCCAATATCATGATTTGACATCATTGTTGAAGCCAGGCCAGAAGCACTCCGTAAGACTGGGGGCCAATCTAGACTCATTAACACTGGTCGAGTCATAACTGGATTACAAACACCTTTAACAGAAGAATTTCTTGATTGATGCATTGCAGGTGCAAAGGACCGACGGAAATGGTTGTGCCAATTATGACCAACATCTAAATGTAGTCTATCAGTAGCAGGTGGGAGATGTGAATTGAATGGTGGGATATACAAAGAAGCTACACCATGCCATTCATAGGGAGAATGTTTCAAGGAATTCAAGGCCTTAGTATTACAAGCATCACCACTAAGCTGATGTCGAGATAAGCATACTTTCTCCTTTACATCAATGGTTCTTGGAAGCTTATCCAACAAAGATGATTTATCTCTTAATTCGTAAGTTTGCACAGAACCCTTCACATTAACATCACTTTTGACGATATTCTTTAGCTTTAATGAAGGCAAATGAGAAGGTACTACACTACAATCCATAAAAGATGTAGAAGTTTCCAAAGTAGATGATAAGCGTTGGTTTTCAATTATTCCTTTTGGGAACTGAGATTCTCCAGGACCAATTTGGCAGACAGATTTTGCTAACCCAGAAACTTCATATACTTCAATATTTTGGCTACTGTCATACTCGCTATTAGGTTCGATAGAGGGAACTAGAGGACTTGAGTTTAATGTTGAACTCTCATAATTATTTGAACTATCATTCTTGATACTTGAGATGGAAGGTTTTCTGATTATATTATCCAACTCTGCTACCTGATCCTGAGAACTAAAAGGAGAGGAAAATTTAACGGCTGGCCCAACAGAAGGTTTTATTTCAACTAATCTGCTGTTCCCACAAGAGTTTTTACTCTTGTGTTTTTTCTTCCTCCTTGCAGTGCCTTGATCTTTTCCAACACTCGTGTTATCGTCATGTACCTGGTGACAGGCTACTGGTTACAGTGCATTCAAGCCATTAGATATATGATACATATAAAAACTAATAAAATAATAAATAAAAACCAAATCAACCGTTTTAGATACATCAGATGAAATTTCTCTACAAGTCTCATTTCTCTTCGACATAATCGACATAGTTGTGGATTCTGCTATATCTTCTCTCCCTTTATGAGCACACTCCTTGTCAAATTCCTGAGGCTACATCTAAAAATTAAATTCATATCCTGCGGATAAATCAATAATATAACATTTCTTATGCTTCTAATTTTACCTTCAGAAATTTATTGCATGATAAATCATCCGCGCATGCCCTCAGCACAGGATTCTGCGACTTCCGGCTCTTTCCCTTTTTCCTTCGACGGGAAGCACCTAGATCCTCTCTTAATTTACTAGGCAGGGACTTACTAGTCCCGTCTCCTAGAAGTTCAAGTTTTGTGCAATCAAGTGAAGTAAACATAAGAAGTTCCCGCAATTTTCTTAATATACAATCAGGGATGGCGCAGATAGAACCCAAAGTGCTATAAAATAGATTAGTCTTGTAGTATTCATCATGAAGACACGATGTTACCATCGTAACAATGTCCTGAAGCACAAGCAAATTTCTAAAGATGTTGGTTAACAAATAAGGTTTTCCAGAATGGGCAGCTGGAATTATGTTGAAGTCAATATGCAGGTCCGCTTGGGATGTTAACATGGACCTTGGTTGAGATATAGTACAATTGTACCTAAACGGTCTATTCCATTCCGCACTAAAGAGCCCCATCTCATGCTCCGCAAGTCCACTAGTCCACCTCAGAATCTCATGTATCTGAAAACAAAAAAAAGGAATGGAAATTAGGCTGAAACATGATGATAGATCTCAAACTACTGAAATCTCAATTTCTTACCCCGAAAAAAAAGTGAGTCAAATTTTCCAGGAAAGAAGAACGATGTAAGCTTGTTAGGGGTATCTTTGTAATTATCTTAATTAGCAGGTCCATTAATAAATTAGTTTTAGTATTTTGTCAGCCAACTCAGTTCATTAGTTACCGAGGTTAGTTACTAATTCTCAATTTCTCAAAATCTAGATTAGAAATATAAAGACTTGGGTTTCCCAGCCGTAAACAATTTTTGGATCTGAAAAAAATAACCTACCTTCTCCTTCAAGACTACACAATTTTTTCTAGTAATGAAATAATGTTTCTTAACTAGAAAATAAAGTCACTGCAAGAGTTATTTCGAGATAACTCTTTGTTTTTTTTTTTTTTTTTTTGAACAAGAAACATGTTCCAAGCTTTTCACCGCTGTAATCTAATAAAAAGAAAGCATCCCCTACAAGTTAAAGATGGTTGGTGGTGAAATTCTCCCTCTCCAAACGGGGCCCCTCTACTTTCCATGGACATGTTTATCATTATCCCATTCTACTTTCCATGGGTTGCTGTAAATGGGGCCCTTCACCCTTCCGTTCTGAGAATATGTGGCTGAACCATTCTGAATTTTTGCCAATGGTAGAATACTGGGGGAAGAATACGTCCCTCCATGGATGGCCAGGGCACGGTTTCATCAACAAACTTAAAAGACTAAAAGGAGTCCTAAAGAAATGGAATAAGGAGGTTTTTGGTTGTATTTCGACAAAAAAGAACCAATTGCTAACCGAAATTGCCCTCCTTGATCAGATGGAGGAAACTGGCTCCATCACACTAGTTCAACACAAAGAAAAAGCTCATGAAAGCAGAACTTATTTCGTTGGTAGTAAATGAAGAGCAATCTTGGAGACAAAAATGCAAAAAACGATGGTTAGAGGAAGGTGACATAAACTCCAAATTTTTCCATCGTATCATGGCCACAAAGAAACGAAAGAGTACCATCATGGGAATTCTATCCACACAAGGTATAAGTTTAGTAAACGAAGACAAAATTGTATTAGAATTTGTGTCCTTTTACACGCCTTATACACAAAGGACAATGCCCTTTGCGAATTTCCTCACTTGACTGGAGTCCTATTGATCAACAGCAAGCTGCCTCCCACAAGGTCGCTTTCACTGAAGAAGAGGTGGGGAAGGCGATTCAGAATCTGGGCTCTGACAAAACTCCAGGACCGGATGGTTTTACCTCAAAATTCTTTCAGAAATGTTGGAACTTTATGAGAGCTGATATCGTGAGAGTATTCCATGATTTTTTTCGAACCGGAGTTATTAATGGCAACCTGAATGAAACATACATATGTTTGATCTCAAAGAAACTAGATGCTCGCACTGTTGCAGACTTTCGTCCCATAAGCCTCACGACCGGTCTATATAAAATCATAGCAAGGGTATTATCAGAACGCCTTAAAAAGGTTCTCCCCTTCACAATAATTGGGCAACAAACAGCTTTTATTGAGGGGCAACAAATTCTTGATGCATCCTCATGACCAACGAACTCATTGATGAATGGGAAAGAAAGAAACAAAAAGGTGTAGTCATTAAACTTGACATGGAAAAGGCCTTCGACAAGGTTGATTGGACTTTCCTCGAAAACATTCTTGGAAGGTTATGCCAAAAAACTCCCGTAAACTTTCTATTTTTCCTCTCAATCCAAAAACTCCCGTAAAATAGCACAAAAGTTGGTAAATCACAGAATACGATCCTGGTCAAAGGACAGACATAGAATAATGGTGAACCAATATTCTGAATTTTTGTTAGAAGGTTATGCCTTCAGTACAGAAAATAATATTTATACTAACAACTAAACAGGCAGCCACACTAACTAAAAGCCACAATGTGTAAAAAATGCAAAATTAACGGCCTAAAGAGTAAAGACAAAGCAACCGCAAAACAACAGCCCAACAAATGATAAAAAGGCGACAAATCTAGCTATATCAAATATGAAGAACTTACGTCCTCTAAGACGGGCCAAGAGAAAGCTGAATGTGTAACAACCCAAGCCCATCGTTGTCAATCTTACAGTTTTTAAAACCCGTTTGTTAGGGAGAGGTTTCCATGCTCTTATAAGGAATGCTTCATTCCCCTCTCCAATCGATGTGAGATCTCACAATCCACCCCCCTGGAGGCCCAGTGTCCTCGCTGGCACGCCCGATGTCTGGCTCTGATACCATTTGTAACGGTCCAAACCCACCACTAGCAAATATTATCCTCTTTGGATTTTTGAAACAGCTCAAACCCACCGCTAACAAATATTATCCACTTCGGCCTGTTACGTATCGTCGTCAGCCTCTTGGTTTTAAGATGCATATACTAGGGAGAGGTTTCCACATCCATATAAGGAGTGCTTCGTTCCACTCTCCAACCGATGTGGGATCTTGCTATCCACCCCCCTTATGGGCCTAACGTCCTCGCAGACGCACCGCCCGGTGTCTGACTCTGATACCATCTGTAACAACTCAAGCCCAGATATTGTCCACTTCGGCTCATTACGTATCGTCGTCTGTCTCACGGTTTTAAAATACATCTATTAAGGAGAGGTTTCCACACGCTTATCGTTCCCCTCTCCAACCGATGTGGGATCTCACAATCCGCCCCCCCCCCCCGGGGGGCCAACGTCCTCCCTAGCACACCGCCCGATGTTTGGCTTTGATACCATTAGTAACAGCCCAAGCCCAACACCAGCAGATATTGTCCGCTTTTGCCCGTTACTTATCGCCGTCAGCCTCACGATTTTAAAACGCGTCTACTAGGGAGAGTTTCCACACCTTTGTCGTTCCCCTCTCCACAATATCTGCTAACGGTGGGCCTGGGCTATTACAAATGGCATTAGAGTCAAACACCGAGTTGTGTGTCAGCGAGGATGCTGGGCCCCCAAGGGGGTGGATTCTAAGATCCCACATCAGTTAGAGAGGGAAACGAAACATTCCTTATAAGGGTGTGGAAACCATTCTCTAGTATATGCGTTTTAAAATCGTAAGGCTGATGACGATACGTAATGGGCCAAAGCGAACAATATCTGTTAGCGGTGGGTTTGGGGTGGGTTAGAGCTGTTACATGATGCCCTTTAAAAAAAATGTCCATACATGGGAAGGATAGAAGCCACCTAATAATTTCTCATAGAAGACAATAGTATAAACGATGAAACGAAGAGCAAAGAGCTTTATTCCCCTAACCATTTATCCTCCCATAAATAAGTATCCAGTCCATCAGCTACCAAACACGAATCCGCCCAAGAGAAAGCATACTAAATTATATGAAATCAGCCCAAACCAAATGATATGAAATTAGCCCAATGGAAAGGAATGATATGAAATTAGCCCAATGGAAAGCTCTGATACCAAATGATATGGAATAAATCCAAGAGAAGGCTCTGATACCAAATGATAAGGAAATCAACCCAATGAAAAGGTTCAGATGCCAAATGATAAGGAATCACTACAAGGGGAGTAAGATTCGAATTACCTTGTTGATCGAATATCTCAAGGCAAGGACACTTGTTTGAGATTCGAATCACTCCACAAGAAAAATCGATCATGTCTAGCTTGAATAATTCTTGTTGATCAAATAAATCAACCCAATGAAAAGGTTCTGATGCCAAATGATAAGGAATCACTACAAGGGGAGTAAGATTCAAATTACCTTGTTGATCGAATATCTCAAGACAAGAACACTTGTTTGAGATTCGAATCATTCTACAAGCAAGATTGATCATGTCGGGCTTGAACGATTCTACATGCAACCTAAACTACACAAAATTCAAAGAAACTTAGTCATTGGCTAAAGAAAGCACAAATGCTTCTTTTACTACATTTTCCAAGTCTCCTTACAAATACAACATACATGGCTTTATATAGCCTCAAATGAAACTCTTGACCTTACATGAGACATTTCAAGAGTGTAACATTCATACTTTATAACCATAATTAGCCATTATGTATACTTTATGACTATAATTAGCCACAATGTAAATGTAACTTTAAAGTAAATGAAAAGTCTTAAAATATATTAATGAAATACAATAACTCTAAATTACTCTAAATTGTAATCCACCAAAAATTTAGAACAATGAAGTTTCATCCTTTTTCAATGTGACATGAATTGAAATATCTTTTGATAATTTCAAAAGCATTTTCTTCACATCTTCATTGAAATATATTGTATGATTGATGTCTGTTAGTTCATATCAAAATCCCATCACAAATAAATTTCTAGTAGTACCTTTTGAAACCATGGCGGGGGATCCAATCAAAATAACAATCATATTTACTCGCGATAACCTTATGTCATAAGGTGTCATAATATTGAGGACATTGCCACAATCATTTAGCCAACAATACCTCGTTTTGTGCCCTTAAATTACATATACCTAGAACCATGAGATCCAACGGCTTGGTCACCACATCCAAGCAGACTCAAGAGACTCTTCCCCTCATCAAACCTGTCCCATAAGAAGTCTCTTATATGCTTCTCCAAAGACTTACTAGCTGACACAGGAACCCTTAACAAAAGGAGAAAAGAGCTGAAAACTGATTGTATCAAAGTGAATCGACCTCCCTTGGAAAAAAAAACTTTTGTTGAGAGAAGGCAGACGTTTTTGAAACTTTTCCACAATTGGATCCAAAAAAGTAGAAAGGAAGGAAAGGAACCTACCTCACAAGTCACCCAGCAAAAGAAGATAGTATCGTCAAAAAACTAAAAATGAAACAACGAAATATTATCCCACCCTACCTGAAACCCTTCAATTATGTCGCTCTCCACCTCCCTCGATACGATTGTTCTCGGATTACACACCAACCAGTAAGAAGACGAAGGGGACAGTGCAAGAATGCTACCTCTCAACTTACTATTAACAAGGATAGAGTATCTAGTTGTCCTAAGACAACTAGAAATCCAATATCTCCATTTATACCCAAATCCTTTGCGCGACATAGCTTGATCCAACAATCTCAATCCACATGGTCGACCTAAATGTATGGAGTATGGACTAAAAAATGTATAAAATAAAAGGTACAGAAACTTCAGCAGAATTAAGTAAGAGATGCAGGATTAAGCACCAGCAACCCGATTATTCTTAAATAATTTGTTACTTCAACTAAATGAGAACACAAAATAGACAGCATGTTAATGTTCCCAGCATTACCAAACTTTTTGCTGATTTTCCCAGAATTGCTGTCAATATTTTTTCCTTTGACGAAGCATCCAATTTATCCCACCAGTCCACGCATCCCTTCTTCCTCCAAAACACGTTTGTCGCCATGCCAATTGCGCTAGCCTTTTCTTTGAACTTTACCGATCTTTTTTTTCCATTATTCAAGCTCATCCATGAGAGTCTCAAAGCCACCTCCAACTTGTTTGCCACAAAGGCCTCGATACTGTAATATCCTTTCGCTTTTAACCAATTTAACTCAGCCCAATTGGACGCCATGTCACCCCCTTCACCTCTCAAAAACGCCCCATTTGAAACTCCGTCCATTGCCTCGACAAATTTGTCCACGTTTGAGACGAAATCCTCGCTTACAGTTAAAGAATCGATGTTCTTTAACGAACAAGAACACTCCTCGAGCTTATCGCCTTCCCTGGAACCGAATAGTCGACTGGACTCGAAAATCATCCTTTCGGACACGCTGGACTCGGAGACACGAGACAAGAGCCCGCGGGACTTCTTAAAGCATAAGCTGGGTAGGTGCAGAGGGTCGCAGGAGGGAATGTCAGGCAGGAGGATGAAGAAACCGTGTCCTCGTTTCCGAACTTCTGCCACCATTTGGATGAGGACTTGGACGAATTTGAAATCAACGACCGTGAGGTGAGCTTGGCGTTGGTGGACGCTGAGAGAAGAGAACCATTTCAGGATCGAGGACCTGGGATTGGGATTAGGATCACGGTTGAAATTACCAGATGTAGAGTGGTAGAGAGAGATATGGGATGTAAGGGAGTCGATAAGCTGGTTCTGGGTCATGATCGATACGGGGAAGGTACTCACCGGCGGTCACTGCGATCAATTCATCGGCCTTTCTTTGTTTATCGCGTCGCAGAGACAAACAGGAGACGAGAGTGACGATGTTCAATTGAGAAACGGCGGGCGGATTTTCGCGGGATGTGGCCATGTGGGGTCTTAATTTTGTTTAGTATTGCAATGTACCATAACCAAAATTCCCCACTTTTTGGTATGCGAGTGATATTTCTCGTCTTCTTATTGGGATAATTGTATGCAAATTTTCCCATTACATCCAAATCGTTAAAAACTAAATTATAACAATTTAATCGGTATAATTTGTTTTCTTAGTCTCTACACTTTTATATATTATATAAGTAGCAATTCAATATACTATTTAATAATTTATCACAGTTTAGGGGTACTAGTTAAAATAAAAAATGTTGTTTAGATTACATTAAAAGAATTATCCAAAATCTAGATATATTTTATTTGATATTTTACCTTGATTCAATTTTAAATTAATATAGAGATCTTATTTTCGCCGATCATGCCTGAGGTATATTATGTTTAATTTATCTCGAAAAATTTAATATAGAGATCTTATTTCGGTCAATCATATACCATGTATATTATGCTTAATTTATCTCGAAAATATAATATATCAAATTTGAGATGACCTGATATAAATTTAAACTATTAAAAACACAAATTTAAAATTACACAAAACAAACTTATTAATCGTGTACACTCGAATAAAGTAAAATAAAATTGTGAGTAAAGTTTTTTTAGATAATTATTTTATTGATGTTAATTATTATCAGTATTTTGTTGTTTGTCATGTGTGGCAACTCAAGTTCAATTTCTGGCGTAAAAAAAATATAAAAGAAAAAAGAAAAAAGCTTCACTAACTATTTGGTGCCTCCCTAGTTCTCCAAGCCGAAGGCTTCAAGATCGAGAATGACCAAGGAGCTGACTGACACCGAAACACTGCCTCCAATGGAGCTGGACTTGAATGCCTTCATCCACGCACACCTCTCCAGCGGCGACGACGACGACGACGACGACGAAGACGACCTATCATTCCCTCACCGTAGCATCGACGAGATTCTAAACGAATCCAGTTCTTCCACCTCATCTTCACCATCGTCTCCTCCCAATTCACCGCCGCCTCGTGACCATCGCTCCATCGCCGCAAGGGACGGCAGGGCCTCTGCTTCTCGTTCTATACCACCATTCAAGTCACCGTTTGAGGAAATAATAAAGGCTTCTAAAGTTCCCAGAAGCAACCAACGGAATGAGAAGTCAGTTCAATTGAAACCAGGTTCGGTCTCTCATACTAAGGTTGGTGAATTAACGGACGATCCGTTTCGAAGGGGATCTCGTGCATTGCCATCGTTGTTTGGAGGGGTTAGATCGAATGCCAAACCTGGGGCGGCGCTTGCCGCAGCTGCTGCGGCTTCTCGGTCCATGCCGGCTCCGCACGCTGCAGCAATCAAATCGAGGAGGTCAGGACATGGGAGCGTGGTTCTTGACGATGACGAATTGGCTTCCTCTTCTGCTGTTGATTCAGAGTTTGTCTTTGATGATTTATATCCTACTATCGATCATTCAAAGGAGTCTCGCGAAAAGTCAATTTCATTGGTCGAAAGGAATGCCGATTATCAGGGTGCATCTGTAAACGTCGGTGGTGAATTTTGGGCAAGAGACAACATTCGAGACTGTGTCCTATATAACGATGAGTTTCGTATAACTAAAGATACGGAATGCGAAGCGGAACAGAGTTTTGTGGATGATGTGAATTTCGACGAGAGCTCTACAACTCTGCCGCCAGTGGAAGCTAACGGTAGAAGCTTGTCTGATTCTGCTGACAACAATGTTTGTTCAATGGATGCAGAACCAACAGTATTGGATGTCGATGAATCAAATGAAGGGGCCTTTCCGAGTTCTCCCAAACCTGATTACGACAGAAGTGCCGTGGGCTATGGGAGGCTGGAGTTGGAAACTCAAGATTTCGAGAAACGTTTTCAACCATCAAAAGATTCGGAGGTTCTAGCCATTGAGGATCTCAGTGTAGTGAACGATATCAGTGAATCGAGGGAAACAGCCGAGCAGCTGGATAACTTTCACACCGGTGAACGTGCAGAAACGATGTCCCTGTCCTCGTCTAATCCACTCGAATTGGCCGAAGAAATTGAAAAGAAGCAAGCTTTCACTGCACTGCATTGGGAAGAAGGCGTAGCTGCTCAACCAATGAGACTTGAAGGTATTAAGGGAGGCACAACAGCATTGGGGTACTTCGACATTCAAGCTGACAATAGTATTTCAAGAACAATTTCATCACATTCGTTCAAGCGTGAACATGGTTTTCCCCAAGCCTTGGCTGTTCATGCAAATTATATTGCAGTTGGAATGTCAAAAGGAAATATTGTTGTGGTGGCCAGTAAATACTCAGCTCAAAATGGCGACAACATGGATGCGAAGGTCAACAGTGTACCTATTCAATATCTAGTTTTTTTTTTTTTTCTTTTTCGATGGTGCATAATCTTTGTTTTTTTTATGTCTACTTAGAACTTGGATGAATTTGGGAGATTTATGGAGCTGCGACCATGAGTGCATGTTTGATTGTTCAGTAGCATCAGCTAATAGATGCAATTAGTGTTACCGATTGCTATTCTTTCTCATTCTTCACGACTCGTACTCGATGGGTCTCTTGAATTCTATGTTAAGTTTTTGCACTCACTTCAACGATATGTTTGACATATTACAAATGTTGTGCGAGACTTGAAACTCTTGGTGTCTTATACAGGAGATTTTGAAGTTGTAGTCAGAGTTTTTCTTTCCAGCAATGCCATAGGTTACCAGTCATTTGGAAAACTGTATTACGTCCATAGTTTAAGTTTCTTAAAGCGTACCTTTCTCTTGGTAGAGGGATTTAAGCATCAGGATATAATGAGTTAATATGTTGGCATTTTACCGGTAAAGTATTAAAAGGGCCAAATTTGGCATCATATTGGAAGTTTTGTTGACTTTTCAGAATACAACCAGTTTCCATTCCTTGAGATGTCGATATCATTTCTACTATTCAAGCTTTTAAAAAATGTATCTACCATCAGGGGAAATGACTATCACATACCGAGTGAAATTCTTGGCATTGTATTGGAAAGTACGGAAAGGGCCAATTTGGAGTTGGTCTTTTGATAAGTTGACAGAACTTTATACTTAATAGTAGGAACAGCATGAGCGGAGAAAAGATTAGAATAGAAGAAACGGGAAATTTCAGCATCTCTATGGTCTTTTTTGATCTCAAGAAGTTGTTTGGACTGGAGATGTCTTCTCTGACCCAACATTGTGCCCTTTAAACACAAAGTTTTCTAGGAAACATCCCCTTGGGGAGAATACTCTGTGGGTGGAAAAGATTACAAACAAAAGTGAGGTTTTGCAGAGGTTATGAAACTTGAGAAAAATTGCTTTTTTGTAGTTTTAAACACAAAGTTTTATAATTTTAATGATTGATTTTTTCTGTCTCTTGGTGGAGGCTGGAGGCTTTGTCCTTCCCTTTTTATATCCTTCATTGCCTGATGGAATCCTCTAGTTTATTTTTGGAAAAAATAAACATTTTTTCTTGTTAAAAAAAGTGATATCATCTTTTCAAACCAAGCTGAGAAACTGACTTCTATTTTATTATTTTTATATTTGATTGACAAGATCCTTGATGATCCTTGTTGGCCTCAGTCTTTTTGTTACTTTCTTTTTGTTACTTTTCCATTTATTTAGATATTTAATATTATGAATTACACTATGTGGATATAGATGCTGCTGCTTGGATCACAAGGTGATAAATCAACTGCGCCAGTAACATCTCTATGCTTTAATCAGCAAGGGGACCTTCTTCTGGCTGGTTACAGTGATGGTCAGGTTACAGTCTGGGATGTGTTGAGGGCGACAGCAGCCAAGGTTATTTCCGGAGAACACACATCACCAGTTGTTCATTCATTGTTCCTTGGGCAGGAGGCTCAGGTTACTCGACAATTTAAAGCAGTCACTGGCGATAGTAAGGGTCTGGTTTTGTTACATACGTTCTCAGTGGTTCCTTTGCTAAATAGATTCTCCATTAAAACTCAGGTAGAAAAAATCTACGTCATGGAGTTAATTATATGGTTCTGTTGCATTAGAATTATGATAATTATATGGGTTGTTGCGATTAAATGCTTATTCTGTAAGGGTTTGTTGCACTGAACAAATAATTTGTTCTGAATTGTGATCTGTTGTTAATCTACTGAATTAGTGTCTTCTTGATGGGCAAAAAACGGGGACTGTTCTATCAGCTTCAGCACTTCTTTTGAATGAATTCTGTGGAAGTTCTTTGCCACCATCTCTTTCAAATGTCGCAGTTTCAACCAGCAGTATTGGGAGCATGATGGGAGGGGTTGTTGGAGGAGATTCAGGCTGGAAACTCTTCAATGAAGGATCATCTTTGGTTGAAGGAGTTGTCATATTTGCTACCCATCAAACTGCTCTGGTGGTATGGGACCCTTGACAATAGCACGATTTCAGTTTTATTTCATAATTGAACGTTGATGATATTTTGAGGTAAACTATTCAGAAATTTCTTGAATTCACTTGAGATTGCTTCAGGTAAGGCTGAGTCCCACTGTGGAAGTGTATGCTCGGCTCTCTAAGCCAGATGGAATTCAGGAAGGTTCTATGCCTTACACTGCATGGAAATGCTCACAGTCTATTGGTAGGAATTTAATGCCCTTAGAATGGTCACGGCTTCAATCATTTGTGGAATGAATACAGTATTTTGTTTCATATAAAAAAAATATAGTGTTTGTAAAAATTCAAAATTGATTTGATGAGTGAACTGGATCACATTTTTGAAGTGATGTTTGAATTTATGGTGTGAAAGAAATGGAAATCTTGCTAACATGGTTCTCTGTTGTTGAAAAAAAAAAAAAGAAATTATTTTCTTATTTGGAGCAGTGGTTTTTTTACACTTAAGACAAGTTCTAGTTGTAACTCATAAGTGATAAGTGCGGTTTTGAAAAATGTGACTAAAATTCTGAATAGTACCTTGTTGTCACTGGGTACGTACATGTGCTTGGTGATTCATCTAGGAGTGCTGGCAGCTATATAAGAAATGAATTAGACTACTTTCAAAGCGGTATCTTGATGGTTATCTCTTGACCTTTAATC